TAAAGAGTGTTTCCCATGTCAGATTTCTACCTCGGATATAAACTGTTCATAAATAATAAAAACAAAAAACAAAAAATACTTGAAAAAGAAGAAATTTCTATCTTAACTTGAGCCTCCAAAACTTACAATCGGACTCGAATCACCCTTGAGTTGGAAGAATTAAAGCCTAGCCACTCATGGTAGAGGGAGAACTTGAATTTTGGATAAGAGAGCTTTTTGTTGGAACTGTAATGATGGATCTCTCAATAAGGCTTCCCTATTTATAGAGATTAATTTTATGGTCTTTTAAAGATGAATTATCTTTAATAAGAAATTCATAACTAATTGAGAATTCCTATTTAATTGAGATTATCCTATTTAAAAGAAAACAAATTAAATAAAAGAGTTCTTAATAAATTAAGTATTATGTTTCATATGTTGATTATATTCTCTTTATTTAAAAAATATCCTAAAGATCCCTAATTCTCAAATTGAACCATCCAGCCATAATAATTGTGTCTGTATTTTATCCATTTGGCTCTCCCCAATTTGGTGAAGTCCGCATTATTCTCTAAAATTGTGCTTTTAAATTATTATTCTTGAATATCTTCAATCTTCCACAAAATGATAAATTATAATTAAATTCAAATATTTAAACACAATAAATTGATAAAATGTAAAATAAATATATAAAATATGGGTGCATTTTTCATGTAATAAATCAAAGAAGAGTTCATCTCTCGTTTCCTTCAATCTTCGGGTTCGTCACTAACACATGTGCTAGACATCACCAAATTTTGAAGTGACCTAAACTAGATTTACGTATTCTTCATAGTTCAAAAGGTGCTTTAGAAACACTTTTTGATGGAAGTGTGTTCAAAATGAATACGACATTCTCCATTGCATAACCCCAAAACGAAGCCAGCGATTGAGAATAGCTCATCATAGATCAAACCATTTCTAACAGGGTTAAATTTCTCCTTTCTGATACACTGTTATGTTTTGGTGTACCAAGTGCTGAGAGTTGGAATGTAATTGCATGTTCTATCATATGTTCCTAGAATCTTAAGTTCATATACTCTTCACCCCGATCAGATCGGATTGTCTTTATCATCTTACATAATTGGTTCTCAACTTTAGTCTTGTACTCCTTAAACTTTTAAAGGGCTTCAGACTTAGGTTGCATTAGGTACAGGTATCCATACCTTGAATAATAATATATTAAAGAGATGAAATACTCATACCCGCCCCTAGCTTTAACATTCATCGGACCACAAAGATTTGAATGTACAAGCTCCAAGAGTGATGAAAGAGATGAAATACTCATACCTTCCCCTTGCTTTAACATTCATCGAACTACAAAGGTCAGAATGTACAACCTCAACAATGTCCTAAGACACCTAAAAAACGTCCTAAAGCAGTCTTGACATTCATTTACCAAATCCCATAGTCATAATATGTGGCAATGGACAAGAGTATTATTATGAACTTGAGCATAGCTATCGAGGAGAAGGTTTCTTCATAGTCCACCCCTTTTCTTTGTGTGTAGCTTTTAGCCACAAGCCTCGCCTTATAGGTATGTACGATTCCTTCAACATCTCGTTTTCTATTATAGATCAATTTGCACCCTATGGGTATACCCCATTGGGTGGATCTATAAATTCCAAAATGGAATTGAAGTACATCGATTCCATTTCGAGACTATAGCTTTGACCCATTTGTCCCTGTCAAGATCTTCCATTACCTATTTGAAAGTCAATGGATCCTCAACGCCGTCATTAGGTATGACAACTTGGGTTTCAGTTAAACCCATGTAACGGTCAGGTTGTACACAACCCTCCCACTACGTTAAGGCACCCTCAATTCTTGAGGTAGATGTGACTGACGTGATGTACTAGCTTCATTAACAGCTTTTGTTGAAGTGCCAACTTGATCAACAACTTTTGTTGACGTATCTGTAGCCTCTTAAAAAATCTCGTTATTGCTACTTTGCTTTGTGGTTTTGATCTTAAACGTGGTCTTCTTCTAAGAATGTGGCATTTGTTGATACAAACATTCTATTTTCTTGACTGTCGAAGAAGAGTCCACCTCTCATCTCTTTAGGGTAACCTATGAATACACATACTTTTGAACGAGGCTCCAGTTTCTTTGGGTTGGTCACGAGCATGTTTGTCAAACATCCCAAAATGCGGAAGTGACATAAACTAGCTTTACGATCCTTCCATAGTTCAAAAAACGTTTGAGAAATACTTTTCGATGGAACTACGTTCAAAATGTATACAAGAGTCTCTACTGCATAACCCCGAAACAAGTTAGGCAACTGAGCATAGCTCATCATTGACCGAACCATGGCTAACAAGATTATTCTCCTTTCCGATACACTATTGTGTTGAGGTGTACTAGGGGTTGAGAGTTGGGACGTGATTCCTTGTTCCATCGTATTGTCCTGGAATCTCAAGTCAATATACTCTTTGCCTCGATTGGAGCGAAGTGTTTTGATGGTTTTACCTAATTCCATGTTGGGTGTGTTGCCCTAAACTCGTAGTTTCTTATTATGTAAAAACATATTTATATTAAATAAAGTTATGTTTTCATACTTAATCAAATTGTTGTTGAATTTATTGTCCAAATCCAATAAACTAAACATACAAGGTTATTTTCATGTAATCAGGACAGTATATATACGGGCTATAATTTTGATATATGATACGCGACAACCCAAGCGTATTGAGCTACTCGAGCCAGAAGCCACTTGAATCCAATCGTATAGTTGGTTCAACCAAAAAGGCCAAGGTTAGAAGGATTACCTTTGCAGTCGTTGCCTTGAGCAGATAGATTACTCACTATGCTCGAGGCCGGAAACACTCCACGAGTTTGATGACTAATCAAACAAGCATGCTCTGAGGGGTTGAAATACGAAGGCCTAAGTTCAACCACACAAACGGATTTGAAATTTGAGAGGGGTTAGCACAAGGCAATGAAAGAAACACTCAATTCTATTCAAAATACAATTCAAAGATGTGTTACAATGGAGGGGTACAAGCCTATTTATAGGCCAATGCCCTTGGTTTTTTAAGGACAATAACAAATTTAAAAAGAAATATAAAAATGATAAATTCCTAAAAAGTCTAAAACTTGCCTAAACGTGAATTTAAATTTGATAAATAAAACAAAGAAATCAAAGATAAAATCCTAAAACAAATCTCCCAAGAATAAACCAAAATGTTAAGGAAATATATTCCTTAATTGGGAGGAGTGGGCGGCAAGGAAGGTTGGCGCGCGTGGGGGCTGGGCAGACAGGTGGGGCGCACGCGGACATTGGGCGACACGTTGGGCGTGCGTGCATGGCGTTCGGCAGAGGCGTTGGCACGGTGGCATGCACATGCGCTTTTGGGCAAGGCACTGG